TAACTAATAACACCACTTATTATCCTTACTTTGCATCAAAAACAAGTTCATAAAAATACAATATAGATACATGTGTAATATAATTTTTTTTGTCTGACGAAATTGCATATTCATTTTTTTATTAAATTTATCAATCATTTACAAAAAACTTTTATTGTTAAAAAAATAACAAAAAAAATTTTAAAACGAAATATTATGGGCAATGCCCCGAAGAAACTTTATAGTTGATCCAATGTTACGGTCATTTAATACTGTTTGAATCCGTATTTCACGATTACGATCTTGTGGTTTCTGTGGGAGTCATGGTGTTCCTCGCAAGACCATTTCTACGTCAAGTTCGACTTTACTTAGATTGTCGGTAAAGTGTCCTGTCGGTAAAGTGTCTTGTCGGCGAAGTGTCTTGTCGGTGAAGTGGGTGTCGGTGAAGTGGGTGTCGGTGAAGTGTCCTGCGGTAAAGTGTCCCAGACCCGTATATCCAATTGCCTTGCTCGAAAGCATCAAACTTGTGTTTATTAAAACATAGTGATGTACAGTAAATAGCACACAAATTGTAAAAGTAGAATAATAGATTGAAGTTGCTAATTGTTTGCGTCTTAAAACGCCAAGAAACAAAAGGTTATTACTGTTGCGAGAGTGGTGGGGTCCATTGTTTGTTACACGATCTGCGGGACCCGAACAAAAATACCATGCATGGACTTTAATATTAATCGAATTATCACCATTCGTTTTATTCAAATCAATCGTTTATTGGTTTTATTCAAATTATTTCGTTTATTCGAATTTTGGATCATTATGAGAAAATAACATACTAGAGGTTGGAACCAGTTAACCTTAACCGGTTAATTAACCGGTTAAAGTATTTCGTTAACCGGTTAGAAACAGTTAAAATGTAGATCACCCTTAAATTAGTTAATTTTAATTTCCAATTAGTATTAGGAAGAATGAATAAACTAATACTTCTTTTTATTCTTTTGTTTTATAATAAAGAATGGCTGATAACGAAATAAATGATGGTTGTTCAGGATTTTTTGACTTTAGAGATAATGAAGAGTCTTCATTTGAATCACAATCAGTCATATCTTCTTCAATTTCTTTTTTAGAATCGCCTATTAATAGTCAACAAATCAAAAAACCAAAATTATCAAAAAATCAAAGCTTTGTATGGAAATATTTTAAAAAAATCGAGAATGAAAAAGCTCAATGTATAATTCCTATAATAAAAAATGGAAAAGAAGAACCATGCAATGCATCTTATAAATTCACAGGTTCTACTTCAAACATGAAATACCATTTGAATGTAATGCATAATAAAACTGAAGACAGAAAAAAAAGTAAATATAATTTTTGATAAAAGAATATTATTCATAAGTAATATATTTAATTTTAAAATTAAACTTATATTATAGGAACAAAAAATACAACAACCAACAATCAGTTCAATGATTAGTAGAGTAATACCTCATGGAAAATCACAACAGCATAAGTTGAATGTAACCTTACTTGAATTTATTATTACTGATTCTTTTTGTAAAAAGAAATTCAAAATATATGAATATATTTGCATTGCTTGACAATGAGGTAAAATTTTTTTGATATATTATTTTTTAAATTCACCTAATTCGGACATTTTCCGAAAGGCAAATCCTTTATCCATGGAATAACAATGGATAAAGCTTCTGCCTTTCGGGGTGTGTGGCATGGATATTTCTGATGTTCTTTTATTAGATCTGGTTTTCCTTTTAACATCCGGAAAATATAAAAAAATTTTACACGTGTCAATTGTAAGTTTAATAATAAAAAAGTGTAAAACTTACGTTGGCACTGTAAGATTTACACAATATTACGTCGGCATCGTAAGATTTATGCAAGTTTACGCTAAATTAATTTCCTGATGAAGAAATTGATTACGCTTCTACAAAGAACGTCTTGAATTTCAGATATTTTTTTTTTAAGACGCGTCAGGATTTCGAAAGTTATACATTGGTTACCTTACTTGGGGTAAATCAATATTGAAAGTTTGGAACCTCGGGAACTTCTAATTGAATCACGATGAAAAGTTTGATGATGATGATTTTTTGTTGATGCTAAAGTTGTTCTTTAAATAATGCAAATTTTTATTCAAGATTTATTAGTGTGTAAAGAATGCACGCTACTATGATGAAAGCAATAGATAATTATTTACCTCCCCCCAGACAAGAGAATTGTTCGTTACGTGCTATTTAGTGAAAAAGGAAGTAATGTGACTGTTATACTCAAACAATCCCATTTTATTCATTCAAACAACAATCAAGTTTTACATTTTATATAATAAATCATTATCACCAGAAAGAGAGAAATTTATATATAAAATTGATAATGAAATGCTAGTGCCCAATTCTGATATAGAAAGTAGAAAAGATTATTTTTTTTCACTAGTCAAAAAAAAAATAAGGAGCATAACCTTTGTAAAATTTTGACCCGTTTATATTTCTAGAAAACATCCACTATTAATCCTACTGTCACTGCTACTACTTCAACATCCACTACTAGTCCCGTACTGCCACTGCTATAACTTCAAGATCCACTCTAATTTTCTACGCAACAAAAAATAACGACTTCTTTAAAACCTCATATTACAAAGAATAATCATTAAACAGCATTTTCTGGGTGAGACGGATATATCGCATATTGAGAATTCAGAACCAATAATTGAACAAAAACAGAAACGATATTATGAGGATGAATTATTTTTAACACCACTAAGCAAGGTTAAGATATAACTTAACATTAATTTTCACAAAAAACTTTCCGAATGAATAGATCAGAACTATTAACACGCGGTACAATAGTGATTTACCACTCTATAACGTAGAGTTTTCTTTATCAGACTCGGGATTGTGCCAATTTCGCTTACGAATGTCTTTTTCGTCATGCGACAACCACAACCTATCAATTCTACTGCACCAGACACTAAAATCATCGATTAGAGATTCGAATAATTGTGTACTTTATGTTCCAGAGTTAACTAATTTTAGTGTGGTGATTAATTATAACATCAATATTAATGATTGCAATAATAAACCATTTTATCTATTATCGCAGCGATCAAAAAATTTCACTAAGAATAACTTCTGGTCTTCGCTTAAAAAAGCATAACTTCTGGTCCTCGCAAAGGAAAATAATAGATATTGAAATAAAACTCTGTGATAGAATCATTATTTTTATTAAACGTAAATAAGCTTTTAAAAATATAATAAAAATAAAAATGTTGTTTTTATTTCTTTGTTTAAAGCGTTTTATTAAGAGCAACAAGTGTAGTTCTTTGGTAAAAGGTAAAAATCCACGTTTTATTTGCTTTAGTGAGTAGGAAAAGGTTAGGATTAACGTTGGTTAACTGGTGGATGTTAATAAAGTATCGTCCATTAGGTTAATCGGAAATATTAGTAGTAATATTGTAATAGGAAATGTAAGGCTTTTCGGCTAACATGGCAGCCTTCTCTGGTCTGGTGCTGTGAGAAAAGATTAGTGAAAAGTGTCATTGACAATGATGCAGCCTCGGTAAACTCCAGGGCCATGTGGCCTCTCCCTGGAGTTTAGTTGCATCATTGTATCCTCAGAGAAATCTTGGTCAGATTGGCCTTCTGCACACGAGGAACGCGTGAGAATGACTGTAAGTGTTAAGGTAGCGTGCGTGCTTCAATGTCTGTAAATTTCCGATAACCAAACATCACTTATCAAAATGTTTCACTTCCTTGTATCGCCTTGACATTTTCATATTATTTAATGTTAATAATAATGTTGATTACGAAAAGCCAAATACCAATTGTTTAACATCTTGATGAGAATCTTATATTTACCCAGCAAGTTTTGCTCCACGTTTGATTTCGGTAATATTCATTTAAATAAAATAAAAGACATATCAATACAAATTAAAAAAAAGTTACCTCTGGTTAGTTATTTAACGTTTCTTTTTAGAGCCCAATCATGCCAAATAACTTCACTCGCTTTTTGTCATTTGTCAAAAAATAAATTGTTTTTCCAAAAAAAAAAAAAAATCAATCACGTCAAAAAAAAAAAAAATAAAAAAAAATAGGATTCCATACATAAATCTTTTTTTTTTCTTAAAAAAAATAATGATGTCTTTCACAATTAATAAAAGAAATCAGGAAAATCCAAGAGAAAGAATTACTCGGTAAGTGTTGTTTATTGTAAGAATGGCGGTGGCGGTTATTGCCACCACTCTTCACTCTAGTTTTTTTGAAAAATTGACATCATGGCACAAAAAGTTCAGCGACTAAGTGACTTGCACTATATACATGAATCGAAAATATTAATGTGTGGTCTTATAAATTAACCGAATTTAACAAAAATATTTTTATTTATTATAGTAACTCTCTCATTGATAATACAAGCTTACCAAATGCAAAAGATTATGAATTTTTTTTAATACATTTGATCCACGAAAGGTTTATGCCATTGAGTTTTTTGCATGGTGTGTCCTGAATAATAAATATGATATTGATGTTGATCTCAAAACCTTAGTTCATACGTATTTTAATAAAGTTAATGGATTATCAAGCCAAGATATTTGGAATGTTTATAAGTTGGAATTTGATGTCACTAGAAAGGTAAGGTATTTTTTATTTATATACAAAAAAAAAAAAAAAAAAGCCATAGTTAAATTTATTGATTAGTGTTGTAATGTTGCCTTAAATTCATCTGGCACCATTACCTTATGTAATAATATTGTTATTTTTGTTTTAATTACTTTCTCAGGATGATCTGTCTTCAAAAAATAAAAATAAAAAAGATCGTGAAATTTATTATAATTTCGTAAGGAGTGGAGATGTAAAACTTGTTAGTAAAACTACAGTGAACCCTCTATAAGTGCACCCCCCTCAGGAACATAGTGCTATTTCTTGTGAGCGTGCATTTATGGAGGGTGTGCATTTATGGAGGGTGATTTTATAAGCTCTCTATAAGCTTGGGGATGAGATGGGCTGTGCATTTATGGAGGGTATACATAGTGCGTGCATTTAGGGAGGATGCACTTAGGGAGGGTTCACTGTAGATCATAACAAAATATATAAAATATTAACAGAATTGCCAAACAATTCAAAGTTAGTAAATTTTTATAAAAATTATGGTATTGATAATGATATTGTAATAATATTTAGCAATAAAATTAAATAAATAATTGTTATTGTTTGCAAAAAAAATATTAAAAAAATTAAGGCTTTAATAATTAATAAATAATATTTGAAATCATTTATTTTATAAATGTTGATTGAAATTTAGGATCTGATTCATTTTGTCAATAATCATTTTGTCAACAGTTATTTTGTTGGAAGTTTGTTTTGTTGAAAGTTCATTTTGTCAAATGTTCATTTTGCCAAAAATTTGTTTCATCAAAAATTATTTTGTCACAAAAAAAAACTTCATTAAACAAATTTCTCCTCATACTTCCCACACACTCTGCTTTCCTCACCTAACTTCTTAACTAAATTCCCACACTACTTGCATCTAACTCATTCAGTCTCTGGCTCAAGGATGAAATAATTTTTGATGAAATGAACATTCAACAAAATGAACATTCAATGAGACAAACTTTTGATGAAATGGGTGTTGACAAATGATTGTCAACGAAATAATTTTCAATGAAGTAAATGCAACTGGGAGAAGAAACTACCATTATACAATTATGCCAGATTTGTACTGTACTTTGCAATCATTATGGTTTGATAAAAGCTTTTGGTTCCATGTTTATTTAGTAAAAAATGTGTTTGGACAACAAACAAAATTTTTAAAATTGATTTCTGGGTTTCTGGGGTTTGCAAAATAATAATTCTACCCCTTTGGAGCAGGTTTGACTAGTGCTGTTGGGAATGAACAAAAAAAAAATTTTTCCCTTCCCCAATTGTATAATTCCTTAAAATCATGAATAAATCTGATAATATTGATTATGGTATCTGATTTAATTAATTTTCCTACCACAATTAATGATTACAGATGCTTTGCACCATAGTGTCACAGTCACCTTTCCTTCTTCCTTATTAATGTGAATATAAGGGGGTGGTGACATTTTTAAATTTTAAGGTACTGCAAGTGTGCAGTCTGAGTTTGACACAATGAATGCTATTATGGCACTAGCCTCTTTACTAATACCTTTGTTAATAGCAATTCCTAAAATCTTACTTCTCTAGCTAGTTTCCCTTTTATATTATTAGTGTTGGTCATTAACCATCCTTATTATTGCAGACAAATTCTGGTAGGTCTCCTCTGTTTTATCCTCCAGCCATACACTACATTTTATATACATCCATAAGTCCTAAAGGCATCATCCCCTTGGATACATTATTAATAATAATTAAATATTAAGCACTTGCACTTTTTCATCAAAAGGTTTTCACAAAGAAAGTTTATTTAATGAAAATTAAGACTATTAAGACAATTATTCTAAGCTGGACAATTCCAAGCTTATTTATAACTCTTGAAGTTTTACAAATAACATGACCTTTACATGATTTTATATACTAAATATAAATATTTATGTCAGCTGAATGATAATATAAACAAAATCATAAAATAGGTAATATGGCTAATATTATATATAGATAAGATAAATGTTCTAAGAATTCCATCATCCAATGTCCCTTTAATTACGATACTCCACACAGCCTAAATATTTGGTCAATCATCCTACACCATGTGACTATCATAGTGATTTCATTTTTGATTGATCATAATAAAGTAGGACTCTAGGCCAGTACCAAGAGTTCAGAAATATACTGGTGTAACTTTAAGAACTTTGGAAGGATCCACTTGACCTAACAATGGTTGAGTAAGTCATCCAGGAAAGGATGGAATTGAAATTGGATGAGTTGTTTTTAACAGTAAATTCACTCTTGAAAATATTGTTAAAAGCTTTTCTAAAGAAGCATGCCTTGGCCTACTGAGAACTTGCGAATGCTTTCAGAAAGCTCTAATTTCCCAACTTTTGGGAGTAATTTGGCCAAAACATAAATACATTAGTCAAGTCTGCAAAAGGAAATGATATTACAACAAATTTTAATAAACATTCTTCGTTGTTGGTTATTTTATAAATTAAGTAGCATATCTAATTTTTGACTCTTTAACAATAAACAAATCAAATAAATACTTATTTTTTAGTTTAGGTTGGCCAATGATCCCTTCAGAAAAAAATGAAGAGTTATTGGTTTCAAAAAAAAACTTTTACTATCCAAGAAGAATTCATTTAAATTTTAAACAAAACATATACCTTTGGTATCTTCTTCAAAAGGTAGTCTATAATTATAAGATGCTCTTCTCATTTAATGAGACCAAGATGGGAAATTTATCTCCCTTGATGAAAATGAAATCTTGAGTACTTTTGAAAAACATCCACATATAGACCCTTTAACATGCTTTCTGAATGTTATCTTCGTCCTATGCAGTGTTGAAAATTCGGTGCGGGGAATGCGGGGGTGTAACATTACACACCAATCAACCTTTTAATTTTTGGAGATAGTTTCTAAATTTGTACTGGTTACACAACGAAATTTCAACACTGGTCCTATGTTGATAGCACTGTCCTCCTATCACTTTAAAACTTGACTGGTACAAAGATGCCAAAGATCAAATCGTTAACTTATGAATGAGACATTTTATCTTCTCATGTCTCTAAAGAAAAAATATGAGAAGATTTGATTATGTTTGTTAGTATGGTTTTAAACAAGCTCCAAAACATTGCTTTAGAAGAAAAATGCAAACGAAACTAAAAACCCGAGTATGGCACCTCCAGAAGCAACTCAAGTAGTTGTCATCTTCTCATTAAGAATCATTGATGAAACATAAATAAAACGACAAATCCAGATCACAGAGATTTTTACCAAGCTATGGATAAAAGGACAGTGACAATTATTATAAATAAATTAATCTCTGTAATAAAAATTTACATTAATTAACTATTATTATTATTGATTAAAATAGACAAGTCACAAAAAGGAATGGCTTGACAATGATCCTGTTATTGATCAAGAATATGCTGACATCCAAAGTTAGCACAGTCCAGCAACATCTAAATTTATGTCTCCAACAGCTTCAACGGAGTCTAGAGTTTATATGACCAACAAAAATGAAAGCGTCCAAGATGGGAGAAATATATAAGTTTTGAAAAAGGCTTACTGAATGTGACAGAAATTCAGTAATAACTCAATGGTATCTGCAGGAAATACACCTGGACCTGTGAAAATGCTCGCTCTTAGTCATGGACGATATGCCAAAGACATTGATGAATTCCGTACAAATAAGGTATGCAGTTGGTGTAACCACTACCAGCTTTCAAGAGGACGGGAAAACTCCATTGAACGTCACCGCCAACACTATGATTCGAAAATAGTACTTTAAAATTTAAAAATGTCACTGCCCGCATGAAGAAAAGATCAGCAAACATAATGATAGAAAAAAGGTTACTAGTTTCACTATAATTCGTAAAAAAAAATAAACAACTTCCTTACTTCATTTGTTAATTTTCATGAATTTATCAGTGCTAAACAAGTTATTTGCAAACGTGGTAAAACTATTTCATTTGGAAGCAATTATCAAGTTGCAATTTTAAAAAACATTCAGAGTAAAAATTGTAATTTTTTGTGGAGAACCAGCCTTGAATTGAAGCATGTTGGTTAAAAAGAAAATCTCATGGAATATATTGATAATGGTCTGTGAGGATTGAGGAATGAAAACATGAATATGTGTCGAGTCTTTGTGATTTAAAATATATTAATTATGTCATAAATAGCAACTTTTGGTGTGACAAAAGACCTGAAAATGATGCAAAAACAACTTTTTCCTAAAATTTCCTGAAAACAGACCTTTTTCTAGTAAAAGTCTTAATAAAATAGAAAGACAAGAGTTTGAAAGAGCATTAGAAGCTGAGGCAGCTTGGTGTTTGGACAAAGAAAATTTAGCAGTTTACTATATCCAATGTAAAAAAATATGTAAACCAATCAATAAGGTAAAAGACAAAGCATGCAGGATTTTTGGATAATATATTTCTATTAAAGTTTATATTTCAATATCTCAACAATATTTTTCACGTGAAAACTTGATAGGCAATTCATAAGATGTTACGCTCATATTCCAATTTGAATTCTATTAAAATTTTGAATGTCAGGCCATATTTGATTCGCATCAATAGTTAAATGTTGCTACGCATAATAATAATTATAAAAAACAAAATTCGAATTTATATGTTTGATTGTTTGATTTGGCGGTGACACACAATAGAGTTTTCCCGGTCCTCTTTCAAGTGGGGCTTCGTTGTGAAATTTATAGTGTGTGAATATCCTAACACACTTTGTCGCATAGCATGGAATCGATTAATTAATCATCCTTCAAACATTTTTGACAGTGGCATGGGCCGAATATTTTTAGAAGAAATAATAGTAATAGAAACACATAGTAATAGTAATTAAATAGATGGCCATTTCCGGGAATGTCCAACAGTAGATGGTTCGCTGCAATGTAGTTTTGTTACCATTTACATATACATTTTTACATATTAATGTACATTTTTATTTTAACATTTATTACATTATTACATTTATATTTACATATATATATTTATATATTATCATATGTATTTATTTATATGTTCATATATTACCATATTCATATTTATATTTTATTTATATATACATTTACTACATCATGCCGAATTGAGATGACGCCAATCTTTTATCACAAAATGGTTTTTTTGTATAAAATAAAAAAAATTTATTCATTTAGTCTTTAGAAACAACCTTATTGTTATCGAGAATTATGGCAGAAGCACCCGCTCTCAGTGTACAAATAGTTCGTGGTTTAAACGATAGAGTTTACGAGAAACGTAAAGCAGCTGCATTAGAAATAGAAAAGTGGGTGAAAATGAATTCAAAAAAACTAATTATAGCTTAACATTTAAAAAGAAAATAAAAAAAAATTGAATTAATTATTTTTTAGAATTTTTATTATTTTAACATACATAATAACAACCTTTCACCCTTTTTTTATTTTTTATATTTGTATATATATCTAATAGATTAATTAGAACGCATTTTGCTTCTAATAATGTAGAAAAAATTAAAAGTATTATTGAAAAACTCACTCAAGATTTTGCTTACTCTGCACATCAAAATTCACGTAATGGAGGTCTAATAGGTTTAGCAGCAGCCGCAATCGCTTTAGGGCCTGTATGTATCAAAAAAAATTATATTTACAATAGACAAGATATATATACATACACATATTAATATCATTTATTTTGAAAAATAGGATGTGGCACCCTATTTAGATGATATTGCTACGCCAGTTCTTCATTGCTTTACTGACCAAGAATCACGCGTAAGATATTATGCGTGTGAAAGCATGTATAATATTGCAAAGGTTTCTAAAGGCGAGATTTTGAGATATTTTAATGAGATTTTTGATGCAATGAGTAAGGTAAAGAAAAAAAATTTTTTTTTTTGATGAATTAAATTATCATTACTTCATATCTAACCATGTACCTTAAAATATATGGGAGCCATTCTAACAAAATCAGGTCTGAGACTCGTTAATCAAATTTGAAATAAACAAGTCTCAGACATTGATTTTGCTGGATTATATCCCATGTACATATATATATGCATGCGTTTCACATTTATAGCTAGCCGCAGATGCTGACTTACCAGTGAAAAATGGAACAGAACTATTGGATAGGTTAATTAAAGATATTGCAGCAGAACAATCAACCACATATGTTTCAGTTTTAGATGCCCCAAGCCTTGTTTCAAATGACGATCAAGATTTTTCAACGGATCCAATGAATATCCCAAGAACCACAGCATTTTCATTACCAAAATTTATTCCATTGTTGGCTGAACGTATTCGTGTTAAAAATCCATTCACACGATTGTTTTTAGTTTCATGGATTACAGTATTAGACTCAATACCAGATCTTGAATTGGTTTCTTTTTTACCAGATTTTTTAGATGGACTAATAAATTTTTTGAGTGATCCCAATGAAGCTGTGTGTGTTTCAACTTCCAACGTCTTGGCAAATTTTTTAACAGAAATACGTGAAGCTGTTGAGGTTAAAGAACAACAAAAACAACAAGCTATGAAAATCTTTTATGTTGAACAACAACGAAAATTTGCAAATTTATCTGAAAATAATAGCGAAACAGGCGATAGCTTGAAAGATGGTACTGTTACCAATAGCAGCGTTGATGATGATAACTCTACTTTGGTTAAATCAGTTGATGCTGGTGATGCCTTTTGGGATTCTATATCTATAAGTGAGATGGAGGGTAAAGGTAAAGGAACCTGGGTCCCAGGTCAAAGTGTAGAGATCAATTTTACCAGAATTATTGAAATTTTAATGCCACATTTAAGTTCCTCAGGTATTATAAAACAATGAGAATGTATTTGTTTGAATAGTTTTGTTGGGATATTGAAGATTTAATAATAATATGATTATTATTCATTTATAGTTGAACAAATTCAAGAAACAGCATTGAAATGGATAAATGAATTTATTAATATTGCTAAAGAAGTGGTCATCAGCTTTACACCTCAATTAATAAGTGCTGTCTTACCCTCCTTGGCTCATTCAGTTCCAAATATCCTTTCATACCAATGTACACAGTTCATATATGTGTATTCAAATATTTGTCTATTTGCTTGTTTTCTTCAGAACATTGAAATATAACTTCCTTAACAGATTATTATTAATATTATTATACAAATTAGAAATTGTGCCATAGATGTCAACAAAAACCTTCATAAAATGATCTTAGAAACACCAAATTTTACCAATACTTCTTCTGCCTTACATTCAACTTTTCCAAAGGACCATAATAATAACAAAAACGACAATATCAATAATGATGATGGTGATATTAATAACCAATTGTCAACAATCTCACATAACAAATTTTCAAAATCAACCAGTGTAGATGTAAAAATTGATTCAAATAGTGTTGTAGATACGTCACCTTTAATAGAGGAGGAAGTTGATCCTTTTGATTATCGATCAACAGTTAGATCATTGGTGGATCAATTTATTAACAGCCATGAAGAAACAAGAATTGCAAGTTTAGATTTGTTGATAATGCTTCATAAAAAAGCGCCCAAAAAGGTTTTTATTATTTAAAGAAAAAATAATTAATTAATTAATATAAAAAAAAATTTTTTAACAAACAATTTAAATTTATTTAATTTACAGATACTTGCTTTTGATGATGGGTATTTTCCAAATCTATTGGAACTTCTCTTAGATCCATCAGAAGAAGTTGCAAAACGTGATCTTCAGCTTCTTGCACAATTATCTTCAAGTTCTCAAGATGAATATTTTCCAAAGTTTATGGTTGACTTGTTGAAATTGTTTGCTACTGATCGCAAATTATTAGAAAACAGAGGAAGTCTAATTATTCGGCATTTATGTCTGAGTCTTAATTCAGAAAGGATATACATGAGTTTTGCTGAGATTTTGGAAAAAGAAGAGGTTAAAGTTTTAAATACTCTTTTTTATATCAATCAATATGAACCATTTATTTAGAAAAAAAATTTTTTTGTTATAAATTGTAGGATATAGAATTTGCTTCAAATATGGTACAAAATCTCAACAGTATACTTATAACGTCACCAGAACTTTCAGATTTAAGAAGAAGATTAAAACACTTGGAGGCAAAGGATGGACAAATGTTGTTTACAGCATTATATAAATCATGGTGTCATAATCCAGTTGCAACATTTTCACTTTGTTTATTAGCTCAAGCCTATGAACATGCCTCGAACCTTTTGCAAAATTTGTATTTTTCAATTCTTATTTATTTATTATTTATTTATTATTATGTTTTATTCGTAATATCGCTTATTTAAACATTTATTTATTTTTAGTGCTGAAATAGAAATCACCGTTAATTTGTTGATCCAAGTTGATAAACTTGTTCAATTATTGGAATCGCCAGTTTTTACCTGTAATTATCCAAAAGAAATTTCGATTTATTTCTATTTGTCAATTGATTGATTTTTTCAATTTGTTGTTAATTAATTGATTTCTTATTCTAGATCTCAGATTACAACTACTTGAACCAGACAAATACCCACATTTGGTAAAATGTTTATATGGATTATTGATGTTATTACCACAAAGTAGTGCATTTGCAAGTTTAAAAAATAGGTTGACAAGTGTCAGTTCTATGGGATTTTTGCATTTAATGCCAAAAAGGTTAATATTATACACACATGCATACATACATACATATGTATATATATGTACAATAAAAAGATATCAGATCATTAAATTTTTTTAAAAATTTTTTATTTAATAAGTCCAAATGATTCAAAAAAATCAATTAGTAAATTATTATCATCAAGAGATGAAGGAATTAGGTTCCAAGATTTGTTGACGCATTTCAAAACGGTTCAAACAAAACATGAAACAATTCGTAAACAAGGTAATTTAAATATAATATTTAACGTTTTTTGATGATTGAATGAATAAATATTGGATAAGATTTGTTTATGATTAATTAACCGCAATCAATTATATTTATAGCTCGTACTATTAAGAAAAGTAATACTACACGTAGAAGAAGAAATCAAGATTAGATATTTCCCTTATATATTTATTTTTTCTCTTTGTAACTATTTAAATACATAGACTTTTTATATTTATTTATTTATTTATCTATTTGTTTGTTTATTATTGTATTAGTATGTGTGTATATATATTTATTCATTTTCATTTATTTTTATCATAAGAGACATTTTTTTAAATAAACTATTATTATTATATACTATTACTATTTATTAAACTTGCAAATTCGAATTGTATATTTAAATCGTTTATTATTGTTGTTAAATGGCTGGTCAGAAAAATCAGAAAGAACAAATTTGGAAATGACTTTTTTAAAAAATAATCAAAAAACAAGCTGTTCAATGATGATAGTAAAGTTTCAAAGATAGCTTCTTCTGCTAATAATGACAAACAACAACAACAAAATATTTATCCAGTTCATAGGGCAACTCCTTCTACTAATTCCAACTTGTCTTCATCAAAACTTTCATCAAATTCATCTGAAACAATCACTTCTTGAAATAAATATTAATTATACACAAATTTAAAATATATCTTAAAAAACGCGTAAAAATCTTACTATGTAGATCAGTGCCAAAAATAGATATAAAAAAATAACCCTCTGTTAAAGTAAGGGATGCGGTATGTATTGACATCAAATATAAATTAATTATATATTTAATGTTCTTATCATATATCTTGTCGCTTTTATTTTTTCATAGGCTTATCCATTCAATCATTATACGCTTTTATATTAGTGATAGAAATATTAAAAGAAGTAATAGGATCATTATTATTACTGTTATAGTTGGTTTAACAACATCTATTTGGATTTTATTACTAACGTTAACGTTAAACATCATTGTTATCACAAAGTCTATAGTTGAACACATTCATAAATTTATAATGGAAAATTTTAACAATTCGCAACAAATATAACCCGGATGAATGAATATGCACCACTTGATGAAGTGAGCAATGCCAGTTATGCTAATTGTACAGATAATCCAGGTATACTAGCAACAACCTCCACTACAAGTGAAGATGTAAACTATGATGATAATGATGATAATAGTGACGGTTGTAATATTTTTATCAAAGATTATCACAACATTTTAGAGTATGAGGACATTAAATATTTAATGGAAAATTTAAAGATTTTTTTTTGTTAATTTATAGTGAGTATAATTTGTTTTATTAAATTGCAAACAATAGCACCATTATCTATATTTTTTATTTTTTATTATTATAGAAAAACATTGGTATCTTTATGTGTTGGACCATCCTTATGACGGCATATACAGATGCAATTGTAAGCCTCGCAAGAGAGTATATTATTATAATTAATGACAACAGATTTGTTGTCAGCAGATCTAGACAACTTGATTTATTTAGATTCTTGTGATTTTTCATCAATTACAAATAAAGATACAAAGGATTATGGAATTTTAGATAGCGATAAAAATTCCAAAGTATCATTGGCAGTTGTGTGATTGTTGATATAGAAAATGGCCAATTTACACATTGTAAGAAAAAAGTATGTAGGCCAATTAAACAATCAATGGGTGCGTGAGAAATTAATACAGAAACAGTTATTGATGCTCTAGAAAAGATAAATAAAATGCTATGATCAGCTTGGAGTTTATCAAGCCCACTTCCATATTGATCAAAATGGTCCCCATGAACCTGGATCAAGACGTCAAGTATCCATTGAAAAAACTGGATACATAAGAGGCGTTGTCTTTTAACATTTTATCCAAGTTTCCAAATAATAAAAGAAAAGATGAAAGCGAACAGCAATAATAAAGTTATTTAACTAAATCATCAAATAAATTTTTATCGAATCAAAAATTTTCTTTGAATTCTTCGCAATTAAAACCTTTGAAAATGACTCAACCATCATTATGATCCATTAAAAAGCGTGTGTATATCACTACTGAAAAGAAATGCGAATCATGTTTATTTAAAACAAAACAAGTTTTTAATAGGAGGTTGCTATGAGTTCGTGTATATAGTCATTAAACAAGTATGGAATTTCCGAAAATTTAATACATTATAAATTACATTCAATTTTTCAATACAAATATATTTTCTTTTACAACGTTGTTAATTTTTGCAACCATGGCCTCTAATCTTTTAAAACTGCCCTAGAAATTTTTAATTGAGAATAATCAAATCAAGGATCTGTAGTTTTCCTAATGTGGGATGGGAGGGAGCTCGACTAATTGAAACAACTTGTCCTTCTGCTAACATACTTTCATCAATGTTCAATGTTATGTGTGGTAGGTCAATCCTTGAGTTTTATGAATAGCCAGAGCAAATGCATTCTGAAGAGGAATTGTTTTCTTGAACTTTCTCGTTTGGTAAATTTAAAAATTTAGAATGCCCGATAAAAAATTTGGGAATCAAACATTTTCCGAGCATCCAAGAACAATTAAAGAAAGCAAATGAAAGGTTGGAAGAGACAGGAGGTGGAAAGAGAGGTGGAAAGAGAGGTTGGACAGGTTAAAGAGGAAGAATGTGGAAGAATGTTAAAGGAGGAATTAGAATGAGTTAAAGAAAGAAGAAATGGTCGAGAAGAAGAGGTTAAGAGGTGGGGAGGCGTTACGAGAAATCGGTAGAAAGAAATCGTATAAAAAATATACAAAAATTATTTTCCATTTCGTTTTATTTATTTATTATCAATTTGAGGTATTAGTATAATGGTATAGGACCCGGTGCAAAATATTCAATGACCTCATATGTTTAGTTTGCTTATATTTGCGTATTTTATATTAGGCAAAAAATATTTAAACCAAAATTTGAATAAGTTCCGGCATCACATGCATAGTAATAGAAATAAAATTCCCAAGATTTTATCAAGTATGGGTATATTTCTAAGCTGAAAAGATTCCTCGCCTCAAACTGCATATAACTGCATTATTATTATTCCAAAAATAACAAAAAAAAATTGACTGATTATTTAAAGTGCGTGTTTTCACATGATTTAATGCTACAAAGATATAACAACCATTTATCACCTGATCAAACCTAGTGGCAATAATTCTGACATACCATTATTATTATATTATTGATGCTTTGTATTTGAATTGTGTTAATAGCATTATTGGTATTATTATAATCAATATTGTCATGAAGTGGATGCTTAATTGATTCATGATGTGATTTATGTTTAAGAAAAAATCAGTGTCTTTAGAATGATCAATAAATTGTTTAATGAGATAGTGTTGGTAATTTTGATTTTTTCCCAGTCTATTCTCTCTTGCTGTAGAGCCATTCCATGGCTTTATAAATTCCCAATTCTCTCAAGTTCACTATAGATTTTGGTGAAGAAACTTCCTTAAAAGGCAAAGATGAGCTTGAAGATTACTTGCTTAACGAGACCCTCTCAACAAAGTAGAGTCCACCCACTTTCCAGTGAGTTATTATCCCAGGTGATTATAGTACTGAGTTCAAGTGTGTTTTAACCTTTAGGTGTATTAAATAAGCTTGTTTTCATGGTCTTTGGTATTATCTTTTTGTAAAATTATTTTTATTTCTATGTAAATCACAAAATGTTGAATTGTAACACATATCATAAAAGAAAAGATTTCGTCATCATTTCTTTTTAAAAATTTTTTTGAATTCCAAAATTTTCTATTTTCCCTATAAATAAAATATGAGCTCCATAGGAACAGGCGTAGGTTATTACTCAAAGAATTGTTGGCATTTACAAATTAAAGACTAATCAAAGACTAATTAATTAAAATTTGATTAATTAATGCTTTTATTTATTAGTATGATATTTCAGTTGCCACATATTCACCTGATGGGCGTGTATTTCAAGTTGAATATGCAGCAAAAGCTGTAGACAACAGCGGGTACATTATTAAAATAATGAAATACTATATGCATAAATGAACGAATGAATAAATAAATAGATAGATGTTTTTGTATGCATAATCTATTTTAAAAATGCTATTTTAGAACCGCGATTGGCTTACGTGTTAAGAATGGAGTAGTTTTAGCAGTGGAAAAATTAAATCAATCAAAATTACTAGTTCCAGGATCAAATCGTCGAATTCAAACTGTTGATACTCATATTGGAGTAGTAAGTTCTTGTAATATATCATATATATATATAATTTATTATTTATTAGGAATAGATTTGATTTATAAATAAATATATACACATGTTTGTTTTTATTTGTGTAATTTTTAGGCAACAGCAGGATTGTTAGCTGATGGAAGACACATTATTAATAGAGCAAGGGATGAAGCAGAAGGTTATCGAGATACATATAAAACACAAATTCCTGGAAAAGTAAATTTTTTGATCTGTTCTAAAAAATAATTATTTATAAAATAATGATGATTAATCAAAAAATCTATTATTTCTATAGACAATAGCTGATCGAGTAGGACAATATGTACAAGCATATACATTATATTCAAGTGTTCGACCATTTGGAAGTAGTGCTATTATTGGAACTTTTGATAAAGATGGTCCTCAACTTTATATGGTTGAACCTTCAGGTGTATACTGGGTAAAAATCATAATAAAAAAGTTTTTTTATGTACTGGTAAATATTTTTATTTATTTGATTTCTCATTAAAACTTTTTATAAAATAGGGATATTATGGATGTGCTATTGGTAAAGGAAAACAAATTGCCAAAACAGAACTTGAAAAGCTTGTTCTTTCAGAAATGGATGTTTTGGAAGCTGTAAAGGAAGCAGCCAGAATGTAACGTTGATTAATATAAAAAAAAAATTTTTTTATTTTTATTTACTGTATTATTGATTATTTGTCAATATATGAAAATATGTTCAGTATTTATACAGTTCATGATGAAGCAAAAGATAAAGATTTTGAATTGGAATTGAGCTGGATCACAGAAGATGATCAAAAACATCGACTTGTACCCAAAGATATTTTTATTGAAGCTGAAAGATTGGCAAAGGTACAATGATAAAGTCATTATTTTAAATACATATAATATTGTGTGACTAATTCATAAATCTTTTTGGGGATTAGGAATCACTTAATCAAG